CGGTGAACTTTGTGGTTAAAAAACCCGACCATAGTTAAGTTCCTACCAGAACTGCCATTTGCATCTTCTCCATCGACTGAGAAACCAGGAATCTTTAGTAGAAACGGAGATCCATGTTTTCCTTTTAGGGTCTGATAGGTGATGGACACTACAGGATGCCAGTGCACCAGCCAGCGTGGGGCGGGAGCGCGCCGGCCAGGACGGGGAAACCGCCTGGTTTGATGCAGAATGGATTGGAAACTTGTATTTACCCTGTGGTAACGAAGGTCCCGGTGATGTTTGTTGGAGCATGTCACACTCACTGGCGAGGGAGCGACTCGGTGCAGCAGCAATGGCTGGTGGAGTTGCAGCTGACCACCCTCCACCAGAGCAGACCAGAGTACCTTCCAGAGAAGGTGCCTGGCTGAGTCAAGGTTTCAACTGCTACTGCTTTCAGTATTGCTTAGTGCCCCTAACATGTCTGGTGTGCCTTATGCCTTACTTTTAGATGAAGATTTTATGAACTGTTTACAAGATGTTTTACAGCAGGACCAGGTATACTGTATGCAGTGGTCTTCTGCAGTACTTGGGTAAAATTCCACTTCCTTTTGCAAAGTCCTAGTGTCTGTCCCACAGCCTGACTTCTCATTGCAGTGGTCTCCTTTTGAAGAGTCAAACTCTGAATCCTTTGGAGTGAGATGGTGGAATGCTGCTTTGTTTTCTCTCCCATTTGACCCTTTATTCTGTACCAGATAACGAACGTGCATGTTCAGGAAAATGATTGCACTAAATTTTTTTGTCTAGTTGTAGTTAAGTGCCAAAATCACGGCAACCTCGAGAGAAGGAATAGAATTCTACGCTACTTAGTACTGCAGTATGTCCTATGGGCTTTAAGAGTTTAGAAGTTTTGCAAATTAGTAACCTACTACAAGGTAGCTGCATATTCGTAGAGCTTCCTTTGTGTTCCAGCGTCTTTTGTACTTCCAGAAAAGCTTTGCTATGTCCCAGTCCATCCGTGGTTCACAGGCCTGGGACTCGTTCCCTGACAGCCGGATTTACTCTTCAGGTCTGTTGGAGCATCCTTTTTATTGAATCACTGTGCAAGGTCACGTTTCTGTTGGTGTTTGCTGTTGGAGACATGACTCTGTACCCTCAGACTCCGCCCTGTGGGACACTCGGCTGTTTCCCTCCACCTCTCTCAAGTGCCTCGCACACTCTTGACGCTAGAGAAGAGAAACCTTTGTAGACGTGGTGTTGACAGTTTTATTTTCGGTGTAGTGCTGCACTAGCCAGCATGGCTGTTTTTTTGGCTTGCTCCTCTGTGCACAGTCACCATTACTGTTAGTAGGAATGGTCTCATCTCTGGGAATTTTTTTTCCTTTAATCTAGAGTCCCACAAATACCTTTTGGTGTCGCGCTGAATTGGTCTCTTCAAAATGTATCTCTGTCCCTAGAGCAGTGGATCTTTGAGCGACCAGGAGACTTTTTGCATCGGGTCAAAATGTGGACCTGAACTGGTTGAAAGTGTCCCACCTCAACAGTGTACTTGTTGTCAGGTTTCCCCTCGAGTGCTGTCCCAGGTCTTCTGTCTGTAGGGGGGATGTGCAGTGGTCTTGTCAATTGAAAAGAAATGCCTTACGCACCTGCGGCTGTGTCAGACTGGTAGCTCCACTTTTCCCAAACCCAAAAGCATATCTGAATTTGGGATTTTCCAGCTAAGTTTCCGAGAAAAAAGTTACATACTGGGCCAGATTTCATAGCTAACAGAATGCAACCACAGAGCAGGCTTCCCCCCCCTCTGCCCAGGGGCAGGGAAGGGACCCAGCCCGTCCTTGGCACCTCTGAGCAGCCGCAGTGGAAACGCTCGTTGCCCGGTGCTCTCGCCACTGCCAGGGAGGGAATCCCAGACTCCTGCCTTCCCACATGATTCCCAAGAGGATTGTACATTGAATATATATCAAGGCTGTAGCTGTAATTCCCTCACTGAACACGGTCCCAGTTGGTGAATCTTTAAAATGGCTTAATCAGACTAGGCTTGCTCAGATATCAATACGATTTGAATTTGCTGTCAAACTTGCAGGTCCCTCGGTGATAAGGTGCAACCACTGATAATTCCAAACAAATCTTCAGGACACCAGAGTCAAACAGCCCAAGACTTTTGATTTGAAACTATTAGCCATAAAGCAGAGCATATGGATGGCTCTCCTTGGCTTTCGATGGCAGTATGCAATTTATATTGTATGTCTTTAAATATATATGTATATATATATGAACTCAGTCTGTCCAAAGTATATGTTATACTTGTTTTTAGATTATGGTGCAGCTGACTATATTGATATATTATTTATTGAGTGCTGAATCACCATCTTATTGGTGATAAATCTTGCATATTATACAGGAGTGCAATGTATATTCCTTTAGATTGCTGAGGCTTGATTGCTGTGATAACAAAAACCGCCCTGAAAGGTATTTATGAATGGCCCCAAAACACAGAGTCAGTACTTTATGGAACTAATGTAGCACTTGCCCGGGGCAAGTAAAATAAACCCGTAGGCAGATAATTATGTAGCTTGCCAAAATGGCAAACTGCTGGAAAGAGAGACTACCTTTGCTGTACTTCGTGTTTCGCTTACCTACCAGGTATTTGCTGTCACTGCAGTGTTTCTGTTAAGGCAGATAAAAAAGGGCCTGAGCAAGTCAAGTTTGAATTGCCCACTGGGGAGTAAACAACTTCCAAATTGGTACATTTCTGACAAAGATTTTGGTCAGGGTTTAAATTACTCCCTCTGATGAATCAGTGTTATGGAAATTGCTGCATTTCCAAGCAACAAAGTTACTTCTAGACCTCTTTACATGGAAGGGGTAGCCAAAGCCTTCGCCAGCCAACTCGGACACATCCAGACCTAGTCCAGCAGACAGATTTCCCAAGCAGGAAAGTTACATAAACTCAATCAATCAGGGAATCGTGATCTGTGTCCAGCTCCATGACTTCTGGGGGAACCTGCCCGTGGTGCAGGGGCAGCTCCTGGGGAGGCTTCTGCCCCCCACCCCAGGTCCCTGCAGCCAGCTCTGCCCATGCCATGGAGCTGCACCCCGGGACGGAGGCACAGCGCAGAGCTGGGGGGGCTCTCTGCATCAGTGTTTCACCCCTTTTAATTCCATCTAGGAACTTGGTGGCCCTGTCTCCATTCCCAGTGCAACTGCCCTGTGCTCCCAGGGCTGCTGCAGGTGGGAGGGCAGGGTTCCCTGGCTGCAGCTTTAGGTGCAGCCTGGGGTGTTGCTGGAGCTGGGTGCACAGGGCTCCTGCAGTGCTTGTTGGGGGCTGCACTGGCATCACACATCCCAAAACTCAGCTCCAAGGACCAGGCATGACTTTTGCAAGCACAGTCCCTGACGTTTGTATCTGGTCCCCCTTTTAAATTGTTTTAAGAAATTTTGTATATGGAGGATAAAGTGCTTATATATTTATTAAAGATCCTTTATCTTATTTGAAATTATTATTTGGTGAAGAAGGGTTTTTCTTTGGGGGGAGGGCTGGTGGGGAGGGGAAGGTAACTTTTAACCTGTCACTTATAAATGAAGCCCTTATTAATCCTACAGGAAGGTACTGTTAGTAACTAATGGGATGTCTCTGTTTTATGCTTTGTACATGACAAGTCCATGTGTTACATTTTGTTTCTATCAAAATATTTAGGCATCTGTCTTCAACCAAAACCTAAAAAAAAAGCAAACTGTGATTTTATTTGTTGCAATACATTTGAAATTTCAAAGGGTACTTTGGGGCTCGAAATTAGGATTTTTAAGTCAGTATGTGCATTTCACGTAATAAAGCTGTTAATGGTGAGCAAAGTATTATATACTAACTAGATTTTTTCCACATCTGTATAGTATATTCTATGTATTTTGTGGTATTGAGATTATAGAAAGTTTAGTGTCTGAAACATGCGTTTAATGTGTATTTTTAAACAAATTTATGGCAATTAAAATATTTGGAGAAAAGGGTATCACATTTCAATTTGTAAAGATCTTTTTAACTACTGTGTCATTAAAATGCTTTGTACAATGCAAAACTGTAACTGGAGAAACTAAGTTTAATAAATATCAAATAGATTTTCTGTATTAAACTTCAAAACCACTGTGCTTGTATCTGTTGTTTGGGCTTTCTCCTGGATACTGCAATTTTCAACACTTTTCTTTCTGATCCTAGTACTCTGTAACAGGCAAATGACATGAATAATTTCTGCCCTAGACCCACTGATGTTTGTCTGATCAGAAGTTTCTCTCAGCCCTCCAAGTTAACCTGCAACTGGTCAGATTGGATTTTGATCAAGTGATTTTAAAATAGTAGCAAGTTCAATAGCAAAAGTCAGTCTGGGACATTGATGAAAGTAAATTTGATTAGAAGTAATACAAAGTAAATACTTTAGCTTCCAGTTATCACTGGGTATGTTTGGCGTTTTGACAATGCTATCAGTATTATCAGCTTGTTTGCTCCCTCTTTCTAACAGGCCTTTATCTGAGGTGCTGATAAGAGTTTGGCTGTTGGGACTGAAAGGAGATGGAAGCATCACCTACTCTGTGCACTTGCCAGGCTGAAGGCTGAAGGTCTGAAGTCCAGTGTGGAACAAGCACTCCTTGAAACGCCTGCTCACCGTACGCTTTGCTCGCCAGGATACAAGGAAAACCAAGGTGCTTTGCTGAGTAGAAATTTTTAATTCAGACCTCAAAAAAATAATATTACTATGAACCATTGTGAAAAACCAAAACGGACATGAGCTGCAGGGTCCTTTTATTGAGGTTGGGCAGAGAGTCTTCCTGAAGGGTGTGCTGCAGAGGTACAGCCTGGGTTAGAAGATGCTCGTGGGCTCTTTTACATCCTTTTCTCAGTTTGTGTGACAGAAATGGTAGCTACATTGATTGCTGCATTCCCTCTCCTGGCTTTCAGCGGTCAATAAATATTTCCCAGGTAGAGTGGAGAAGTGTCAGGAGTAACAGTGAGGGGTGGTCTTCATCCTGGCCAGTCACTCTGAGGCTGTTCTGAGGAAGCAGTGGTTCTTCCTGCAAAACAAACCAGCAGCTCAGACACCCTCCACACTACTCCTCTTCCCCAGCTCACAGCACTGCTCTCACTCAGCTCCTGCCTGGGCACGTTGCATTCACTCCTAAACTCTAATTTGTCCTGATTCATTTGATGTTTGTGTAATGACTCCACGATGCAGGTTACCCAGAGGTGGATGGTGGGGCTGCAGTGTGGAAATCACACACGACAGAAATCCCTTCTTGTCTCCATCCTCCTGCGAGTGCTGCTAAGTTCACCTGTGTTCAGCAGCAGAAGGGAATGATGCATTTCAAATGCATGAAAAATAACAGCCCTGCTGCCATGTCCTCTTAGCATTATCCACCCTGTCCCTGCTTTCAGGTGTGTGCCCTGTAAGTGCCACAAAACCACCTCTCAGTCACTAAATAGTAATTTTAACCAATTTATCTCTGTAGTTGGACAATTTGCTCATGTTCATGAGATCTCAGTAGCTTTTGATATTTTAGTTGTCTTTTAAACTATGACCTGAAGTAATCAAAGTGATTCAGAGACTGCTTTTAATTAACATATATTTTAAAGTTAGCAGCATTTGCTTTAAGAAGGATTAATGTTAAGGTGTCTATGTGATTGCCTACAAGCTGCCTGGAGTCCTCTGTTCTCTTCTGAGAAGACAGGTTATTTGTGGCTGCAATGGGAGGACTCGGGCCTGTCACCAAGAACACCTGGACTCTGCTCTGTTTGCCATGCTTACCAAAGAGGTCTGAATCTGTTGCCCCATCCTTAGTCCTGGTGTCTTTTTTTATGCACAGAATTAACTCTGTGTCTCCTCTGGGTGAGAATACGTGGGAACTGCCTCTACTTAATGTCCCAGGAAGGGCCTGAGCTTGGCCAGGAGGAGTTACCTGCAGAGCATCGTGATGCACTCGCTGTTGTCCCTGCAGGAGGCTCCGATGGGTCTCAGGGAGACTCCTCTCCAGAAGGGTGTCATCCTCCTCTGTCTGGTCAGCTGAGCTTGGGGCAGGGAAGCACAGTGTGTCTGGAACAGAGTGGCAGTGCCACTGTCACAACGTGCAGCCACTGAGCAGTTGCTCACTCTGATGCTCCGGTCAATAGTCTTAAGTGAGGAACTTGAAATCTTTCTCATTTTTGGGTCACATCATGCTGTATTAAATATAATTGCTTGTATGCCAAGCCAAAAGAAGTATAAAACGATTCACTCTGTTTTTTAACCTTGGGAGAGAAGGCAGTTACTTGCTAAGTTGTATCTGATACCCCAGTAGTCACCAGGCAGTTACTCTACTTTTTTTATGCTGTTGAGTCCTCTTACAGGGCTCTCCTGTCACCTCTAACTCCTCCCAGTTCTTCCTGCAAATCATAACAGTTTTTGTTAACTATCTGACCATTTCAATTAGCAATTAGTGTCTCTATTTACCTGGCTGAGCAGCAGTGAGCAGAGCAAGAAGATGGCCATGGTTTTCCAGCAGTGCATCTTCAGAGGCTGAGCTGCTACTGGGGCTGCAGGACCAGCCTTGGGTGGAGGAGGCAGGAGGAGCTCCAAATAGACCTTCCCAAGCTTCAGTGGGATTTTTATAGATTTCATTCTCTTATCATTGCATCAGCTGTCGGTCATTGCAGGAACAAAGTTCAATTTGGAGCAAGAGGGAATTACTAAGTTAGTGTCTGCTGAAGCGATCTGGTTCAAGGCCTGTCTCTCTAGCTAATTATTTACTCTCCTTCCACTTGTACTTTGTCTAGTCAGCCTGCCAGCCGTGCCAACTGTTCCTTTTTTCGAGCCTCCCCAGCGTGTTACCAGCACCCCACAGTCTATTTGCAAGCAAAAGGATGGTTGGCCCAAAGTGTTATGGTAAAGATCAAAAGCCATCACCTTATTTAACTTCTGTCATGTTCACAGTGTGCCCAGCTTTGAGCTTGTCAGCAGGGGGGAAGTGTTGGTTCATTGGGCTTATTTGGAGCAGAAAATCACACCTTTGATCCTGCTCCTCATCCATGGAACAAGAAAGAATCATGAGGAAGTCACTTAACCTACCTTTCCACACACATGGTACTTAAAAAGCAGATGCAGTACTTTTCAGATGCCTTTTGGGATGTAAAAAGTATGTTATGCATGATAAATAACAGACCTCTTCTTCCAAGGAACCTAACATGGTGTTAAAGATTATGATCCCTGGACAGCTAATCCCAAAAGGAGGAGAGCCTGTGGTTTCTGTGACTGAGCTGTTTGCTGCATCTGCCTCTGCACCTTCCAGCAAAACCCACCCTGAATCTTCTGCAAGGTGACAACAGCTCCCAGTGATGTGGATGGGAACTTTGTAATTAAGAGGAATCTCAATATTCGCATTGTGAAATGAGATTGCAACAGCCTAGAGAAAAATTTAACTATAGTCCTCCCAGTTTACAAATGTTGGGACAAGCGGGAAAAACATTTATCTAAGGGGACCAGTCTGTAAATGGACCTTGCTGGTGCTTCCTCATCCTCTATCACCTCTTGTGCATGCAGCTCCCAGACCAGTCCCACACACGCTGTGTGTCCAGGGAAAGATGTGAGGTTGCAGGATACCAGGACACCACCACCTTCCTGGTGTGCAGTCTGCAGGGTTTGCAGCACACCATGGTTAGGTTTCTCCAAGCACCAAGATGCTGTATAAAATAGTGAGCTGTGCCCAAGCTGAACTGTAGCCACAATCCTGCCATTTTCTGTGTTTTCTGAACATGGAGGCAGAAGTGCCAGCGTGGAAGGCCAGTTCCTTAGTCTCAGATAATGCCATGCCAGGTTCCTGTCTACAGGTGCCGTAGCCCAAACTTCACTGGGATCAAATACAAACCCCCTCCCAGCATGTTGTCCTCAACCACTTTTGGAAAGTGTGTTCCTGTCCCTGCGTTCCTCTTACACCCCTTCCTCTGCCCTGTTTGTCTTGATTTCCTGGGAGGAGGAAGCAAAATTCTTCATTATTTCACCTTCCTGGGACTTAGGAAGGGAAGGAAATGGGACAGTTAAATCATGACACATTAAATAGTTGACCTGGAAAGTTTATTTTACATTTGGCTGTGAATTTCTCAGTTGGTTTTCCCATGAGGTCATTTCTTTACATGCATCTCATTTCTGCTATTTCCACCAGGTGCAGACCAGAGGAGGGAAAAGCAGAGGCAGCAGCAGTGATCTTGACTTCATCTGTGGAGCACAGGATCTGCAGTGATTGAGACAGCATTGCCCTCTGCAAGCTGTCATTTCTCAGCATTTTTGGCTGGGTGAGATATGTCAAAATTGTTGTGTGTCCTTCTGGGACAGTGGCAGTGCCAGCATATCCCTCCAGGCAGGAATCTGTTGGTGCAAGAAACTGGGGGGGGGGGGAGAATAAAATGGCACCAATTGTTTCCAGGTGTGCAAGCCCAGTGTGGCAGTGAAATGCCATGACAGCGAGGGCAGAAAGGGTTGCTCTGTTGCCAGTTGTTCACAGGAGACTGGGCAGGGTGGCAGCAGGTGGGTGGTGGAGCAGAGGTGCCTGGGGCACGTGCAGTTTGGAGGGGAAGGTGCTGGGGACAGGGCTGCCAGCTGGCTCGGGGACAGCTCTGCTGGCCCAGCAGGGCAGGGACCTCAGTGAGGGACTGGGACCAACTCTGCCCTTCAGCAGCTGCCGGGATGAAGTGCCCTGGAAAACAAGCACTGACACCACCCAGGCACAAGCTCCATGTGCTGTCACTTCGGCTGCCCGTCAGCAGGGGCTCGTTAAGCAGGAAACAAGTGAGGTTTTTAAGGAAGGCTCCCCCTGGGTGCCTTTGCCACCACCCCCAGCTGCAGCAGCAGCCAGGGCAGTGCTCCCTGCTTGCTTAAACTGCCCAGAAGATACCAATGAACTGACACGTGAAGTTTAAGTATAGAGTATCCTTGGCACAAGGTGCAGCAGTGCCTGACTTGTCACTCCTGCTTATGCCAAGCTCAGCCTGTGCCTGCAGCAGCAGGAACAGCCCTGGGGCTGAGCTCAGTCTCACTGCTTTTTAAATGTGTTAAGAGCCCCGGAAGAATAAAGCCTTCAGCTATAAAAACTACACCCCCCCAAATCCTGAGGTGGGAGACCAGCATTCACCCTGAGCACACCCAGTCCCCAGCACAGGGGAAGGACCAGAAGAGCTCCCCGTGCCAGCCCAAAACAGCAGGGCCACGTGCTGCTGCACACGGGGCACGACCTTGGGACAGTCAGCTGGAGGCTGAGGGGAGAAAAGGATAAAGGAATCAGCAAGATGGTCTGGACTTAGAACAGCAAAGCTTGCTTCTACGCTGGGAGCCACAAGGTCAATTTCCTTGTCACTGAAGTCACATCACTACTGTCATGTGTTGTTTTGTCATCATCTTCAGTCCTGTTTCTCCTGGTGCTTTCCAAGAGGAAGCTTCCAATCCGTCCTACTGACACTAATCAGAATTGCACTTAAGCACCTGAGTAACATTAATAAATGATAATTAGGTAATTGGCATAATGGGGCCACAGAACAGCCCAGGTTGGAAGGGACCTCAGAAGATCCTCTGGTCCCACCTACTGTGGGAAAGGTGCCCAGATAAGTTGATCTGGCACCTGGTCCAGTTGCATCCTGAAACCCTGCAGGGCCGGGGGCTCCACCGAGCTCCCTGGGGAGGGGCTCACACTGATCCCTCCTCCTCAGAATAAAAAACTCCTTTCTTACACCAAGATGGAACCTCTCCCCTGCAGCCTGTACCCCTTACCCCGCTCTTCAGGGCTCCCTGGCAAGGGAAAGCTTCTGTGCAGGGGTCAAGGTCCACGCTCAGCCCCGGCCTGCCAGCCAGCTCCTCCTGTCTGGTCAACCCCAAACCAGGGGCACTGTTTGTTTTTCACAGATCTGAGGGTTAAAGGAAAAAGACGTGGAAAGATAACGGGAGCAATGAGCTGGAAAAGATGTGGAAAGATATAATGGGAGCAATGAGCTGCTGCTTCAAATCATCTCCAAGGGAAGGCAGCCCTGGCTGCACCAGTTACACTGGGAGTTATTTCAAAGAAACAGGAGTCAAAAAAAGGCCGGAAACACTGAAACGTGAACGACTCGGAGCACACAGAACTTTAGCCTGATTATCTCCTTGTACAGAGGGAACCAGACGGAGATTTGCTGCTCCCCTTAAATGTCCCAAGGCACGGATTTCACACAGAGTCACGGGGCAAAGTCAGAAGTTTATTGGGCAGGACTTATCTCCCCCTGAACAGGCTCCTCGCCGTGCGATGGGGCACAGACAGACAGACAGGCCCGCGGGGGCACACACGGGCCCGCGGGGGCACACACGGGCCCGCGGGGGCACACACGGGCCCGCGGGAAGCACCGGGCTCTACTGGTCGTTCTCATAGTCGGCGGGGTTCTTCCTCTTCAGCCTCTCGAACTCCTGC